ACTCAGTCACTTCCACAGATAAGGAGATCAGCTGGGTTAATTAAAGGATGTTTACAAAAAATACAGTGTATTCCTTTGAACTATTTAAAAGTGTGGAGAAAGCACCACTGACTAGGAAACAATTTCATGAGGTGTTTAAACTGATCTGAGACTGTGGCCAGTCTGTCCTTGTTCTCCCTTCTTCCACAACTGTGGCTACACGTTTGTATTCTGTCCCTTACACCAGGTCTAATGGTTACATGCTTGGCCAGACGAGTGAGTGCTCCTGAAAACCCTGTGTTGTGTGGGCAGGGACTTTTCATTTTTTTGGACAGGCTGCTGTAAAAATACAGTGCCATGGAAAGAGAGGAGATAGCAGTGGTTGGACAGAGGGGAGGAGGGAAGGACTATCTAGGTTGTCTCGAGTCGCTCTTGAAAGCATAGCCAGGTTTTGTGATCACGATACTTGGTTCTGAACTAGGTGGTACAGTATAACTGAACCGGTTACAAACCTCAAGACTCTCCTTCCTTTCAGATAGGGAAGTTAAATAGTCTTAAAATGGAAGACCTATCTAAAACTATCCATAGACTTAATTAGGAAAATGTCCCTAAGTTTCAAGTAGAACACAGACCATATTTTCAGACCCTGAAGCTACTTCCTGTTGAACAATATTTTCTGCTGGTCTTAAATATTTATGGCAACTGCCAGCTGTGAAAGAGGCTAACTCAGCTATAAATGCTATTTTTTACCTGTTTAGGGAAAAATGTCCCATGTAGCTTCCTGGCAGAGCCAAATGGACACCTGAGTATCAGAAGCCAACTCCTTATATGTCTCTAAACTTAAGCACCTAACTCTAAAGTTACAGGTGTGGTAAATACCACAAATCAGCGTAATAGTGTGGTGTTATACACATTGTAACAAGACCATAGTTTGGTATCTAGCACTTCCATTTGTAGGATAAATTGTAGAACTTAATTTTTCTAAGATAAAAACAAAAAGTCATTTAAAATGCAACAAATCAATGTTTTTTTCATTAAGCAGTTTGGTTTTTTCCTTCCAAAGGAAGACTTCACCTACCCCTTCCCTTGGGTGTTGTTTTTTCTTGCTGTTCCCTTTCTGTGGGTGGAGCACCATTCTCACAGTGACTTCCTCCTTAGTCCTAGTCTGGACTTCCTTTCCTGCCTTACAGGCTTTTGTCTTCTGATGTGTTGTCCAGCTAGATGTGATTAAATACAAGTTCCCTGAATGCTATTGATACTACTGTAAATTATCCATAGGTTTTCAATAGAAACTGCACTAGAACTGGCTTGAACCTACAAATCAGAGTTGGAAACTCCTTGTGAACTCAGCATAGCCCCATGTAACTATCTCAACTAGCTTAACTTCACTCTGTACAAATATGTTGCCCTGTTCTTATAGTTCTAGCCAAAAACTTAAGGCTGTTCCTTCCCTGCAACTGCTGCTCAGTAATTCAAGTATCAGTCTTGCATCTCCCCTCTCCCTCTCCATCCTGTGTGCTTTTATTAATTTCCATGTGTATGAAGCTTTTTCACCTTCCTTTCATAGCTAAAGGCTTCAAAATTCTGCAGTCTCTTTTTTATTCAACTGTATTACTACTGCTGTCGCTGCCAGGGTTAGCCAGAGTCTGTTTGTGTAAGCGTTACAGGAAAAGTGCCTCCCAGCCTTTTAGCAAGTCTTAGATGGGCCAGTTTCAGAGCAGCTGGGTGATCAGGTTGTTTCCTCTGTATAATTAAAGGTGAGAGACACCAGAGAAGCAGACTGCCATCTGTGTCTTGCTACTACCTAGCAAAACAGCCCAGAACCTGTCGGTCATTAGTCCTTGGCAAAACTAACTAGACAAATTTTAACAGAAAATAGAGAAGCTTCAATTCAGAGTCTGAAGCATGGGGAGCTTCAAGGAACAGTCTGGTTTTCACAGCTGAAGGTCATGCTGTAGAGGATGCATATTAACTCAGACATTATGGTCCCTTATGGTATAAAGTTACCTGGATCAGAAGACTACCCTCAGAGGTGACTGCTGGCAGTGACTAGGTGAAAAGGAAGAGGAGGTACACTGTGGAGAGGACAAGGCATGAGAGTTGATCTACAAAATTGCCTTTTATCCTTTAATCTTTCGCTAGATCTTGGTCACCCTTTCCTGCAGTTTGTAGAAGCTAATGAAACTGAACCTGCATGCATTCCTCAGGAGTTCAGTGTACAGTCAGCCTGCCTAAAGGTCATTGAGATGCTTGGCACCTTTGATGGCAATACAGGCCTGTTAGGTACATTAAGTGTGTTGTTGGTTTTTTTCCTCTTGTAGTGAAAACTTCAGGACTGTTTGCTTACATGTACTAAGTGTTGTCTTCTCCCACTGTAAAATGAGCAATAGTAAAAATTGAACTACTTGTTTGGGGTAGGATAGTGTTCAACTACACAGCATTTCACAAAGTCTTCTACTCCACTGCTGGAAAGCAGTGCATCATTTAGATTGCCATAGGAATTCTATCAGTATTGTAAAAAATGGAAATGGGGCAGTTAGTGTAAGATGTATAACCAACTTCCAGTTTCTTGTGTTCTTTTGCTATGGACTATACAAATGAATTTTTCAGTCACTTTGGTGAAATTGTCCTCATCTGACCCCTTTATTTGCTGTACTTCCTCTCCCCCCCTTTCCCAGAATCTCATGGTTAAAAGTAAAAACGTGTTTCTTAACTGCAGCTTTAGATTACATGCTTTTAAAGTACTTTTCAAGTACTGCATAACATAGTCAAATCAATCTGATTTAACAAAAAGGTGCATCCTTTTCTTTCAGTAAAACAGATGTAGGAAGGAACAAAAATGTATGAAGAAATATTTAAATGTATAGGCACCAGAAAAATTTTGATAACTGCTGGTTATGTACAAGTTATTTAAAATTAGTGTTTATAAACCAATTTCATACAAAGAAGACTATTTAGTGGGAAGAAAAGAAAGCTTAAATCTTGAATTCCTTTCCTCTTTGTTTAATGAAAACTGAGCACATAACACTTAATGTCAGGAATTCTCCCTAATTAAAAAAGAAAGAAAAGCCCTCAAGCTTCTGTCTTAACTAGGTTACAGAGTGAGTAATTCTCTCCTGCTGCAGTTACACAACAAAACAAGCCCTGCATATGCCAGCATTGTTTGTTTTGCTGGTAGGCTTAAAACACTGTTTGTCAAACTTAGGGTACTTTCTCTTTTTTTAATGTACAATCATGTAATTGCTCTCTTCCAGTTCTTAAAGAAATGTTCCCTGAAAAAAACGCATGACCCATGACTGTAGATCTGTGTACTTTGGTGGCAAGAAATTTGGAATTTCTGAGCTAAGAACTCCGTCATGTTTGCAAACAAATTGGTGGAATTTCTTCTAGTTTCTGAACTGGAGCACTTAAACATATTTCAGCAGCTGGTAAAAATGAAATAGCCTGTCCTAATGAATTTAAACCTAGAAACAATACCAAGCAAAACACCTCAAAATCTTACTGTAAAAACTGAGCAATATTGGCTAAAAAAAGTTGAGCTGGCAGGCTGAAAATGTAATTGAACAAAAGAGAAAGATTCTTGGTGCTGAGTTGTAGCAGCTTTTCTTGGGAAACAGAGGTGTTTATGTCTGATAGTCAACTTTTGCAGAACACTAGCTGCTGCTTAAATTAACCATGAGGAAGTGATATTTCTGCATGTGAAAATCTGGTGACCAGTTTGAGAAGATAGGATTGTATCAAATAGGTAATAGCTCTACCATTCCATCATCCTGACGCTGAGTATGCGATAGCAGAGATAAAGACAGGAAACATGGGCTCTGACTTATGTTGGTGGAATCTTGCCATGGCCTTGAGTGGAGCTGAAAATTGGCTCCAGACGTATGAACATACAGCAATATTCTTTGATCCAAGTGAACTGAGTTCTTCAGTGTGGCCCCATTTGTATTTGAAGGGCTGTGATTCCGTTTTGGCTACTTCTGCCGTCTGTATTCTGTCAAGCCCTAGCTCTTTTTCTCAATCATTAAAGCAGAGGAAGGAGAGAGACCTTTAAGATTCAGTTCGAAGGTATATCATCCTACTTCATGAACAACTTTGTGCTTGAAGAAGCATAGTGCCATCTGTGGTTTTGTTCAGTTTTGCTATATGGGATGGTGAGGATCTGACGAAGCGCTTTGCTGCATCAGCATCGCCATTTGTTACGGCTTGAGTGTGGACAGTCCTTAGGATTTCAGATGTTTTGTGGAAAAAATTCCTCTCTGCTCCATAGGAGGCTTTAAATTCCTACCGAACTGCCTTCTGTGGCCAGAGCCATTTTTTTTAGAAGAAGAGTTGGCAGCTGGAGTGTTACCAAGCACATACACAAGTTTCAATATGCACTGCACAAGCTTTTGTACCGCAACTTAGCAGCCCAGAGAAGAGGCCAGGATTTATCCCTCTGTTCCTTCTCTTTCGCTCTTGATGTCTTTTCTAATGAGGTATATAGGAATAAGCTTATTTAAAACCCCTTTAAGTGACTTACCTGATAGTCGTCTTAACAAGTGTCACCAGAAATCAGAGCAATCTCTCATCACATGAACCTCTTTGAAATGTTCTTTGTTCTCAGTACAGCAGTTTGTTTACATCAAAACAAGATGCAGACAAAACAAAAACAAAGAGTAATCTTCTCTGCTTCAATAATTGCATTTACAATCTAATTTACATATAGAGTGTCTTTATGCAGAATTACATATTTCCTAGATGTTGGGGGAAATACAAAGTTTAGTTTGCCCTTTTTTACCTTGTTTTAAGCCTAGTAGATACTAGGGGGGGCGTTGCCAAATTTATCCACTGTTGATCTATTACTTGCACAGGGGACCAAAGGAACGGGGAGGGTTATAAAGTAGAGAAAAAAAACCAAACAAATTTCAAATTCGGGTTTCCTGAGGTCGTCATTCCTGCAAATGTCTATTCCCTAGCTGATTCTTGTCAGAAATAAGTTACAGACCTGAATGTAAGTCAGAGGTCCTGACGGCTTCTTCGGCATGACTGCCAGTGTATTGGAAGAACCTGTAAGAGAGGGAATAGGTAATATGTCACACAATGTAAGTTCAGAGAGCTATCATTTGTACCTGAGTCTTAAGTTTCCGTGTTGATAACTTAGTTATTTTCATGCAGAAGTCTTCCACAATTTCAGTATACAAAATCTGTTTAAAAGCGTGTCAGTATTTACCATTGATGACTCTGCGGTTCTCTTGTTCCCCTTACTTGCATGAAAACTACTTGCATGAAATTTTTAACTCCCTAACTATGTGAAAATCTGTGTGTATTTTCGTCTTGTTCTCTGTAAACACTGACCAGATTATAGTATATAGAACAGGGCTGATAATTCAGACACAAATGAGTGTCGTGGGGTGGTGGCAAAGGAGGGGGCACAGAAGGCAGCCTGCCCTCAGTAACTATTCAATCATGTGAGTGGCAAATGCTTTTCTTAAGGGTAATCTTGCTTCAATATGTGGCAACTCACCTTACTGATGAAAGGACTTTGAATTCTATACTTTAAGTTCTGTTTCGGGTGGGCAACTTCAGAGTCCTTCTGAAGTAGACTTCCAGAAAAGATGAATTCTTATAAACAGGATTTGGTAAGTGTGTGCATTGCATGATACTTAAGAAACTTAAGTTTTGCATGTTTGGTAGCTTCCTCCATGCATGTTTAAAAATGATTTTTTTTTTTTGATTTAACCACATGTATTTCTTGTTTTTGTTTTTTGTTTTCCTTCCCCCAACAGCTGGCTTACCCCTTGGTGTTCTAAACTTGGCCAAAATAAAACCGTATCAGAGAGGCTTTTTCTGTAATGATGACAGCATCAAGTATCCGTTCCATGACAGTACCATCACATCCACTGTCCTCTACACAGTGGGGTTCACCCTGCCCATTTTCTCTGTAAGTAGCTAATATATAGGGAGCTTTGGTGATGGGAATAAAATGTATGCCTTGCAAGAGTTCAGCACTGTGACTGTGAGTTGAAGGCAGTCTATATAGGCAAAATCCCATGTATGTATAGTCGGATGCATGTGAAAGGTACTGTTGCTACTTTCTGTTTGCACAGAAAATCTAGAACTAATCTCTTAACTGCTAGTGTTGCTAATCTCATTTGTTTTAGGAGCAAAAAAAAATGGAGATGAAGATTTAAACTCTGTTAGTTAGTCTAGGCTTTTATCATTGGGGAGAAGAATGCTACAGGCTTATGAAATGCTAGGGAATAAATATGTTACTTATTCAGGATGGGTTAATCTGATAATTTAAACACTTGTGATGTTAAAACTTGCACTGTAGTGGAGTGCACAAACCTATCACTAGTGACTTGCTTCCATATACTTTCTACAGAAATAAGTCTTAATTTGGACTCCGTGGGTTTTCTTAGGTTTAAAATAATGTGGTGACTCTTTAAACCCATCAAAATGGGATACAGAGGCTGAAAATCTAGTTGCTTGTAGAAAAGAGGCTCAGTGTTTTCAAGATCACATGATTTTTACAAAGAACAATTTAACTCTTCAATAGATTTTTCTAACAATATTTTAAGCTTGATTGTATCCAAGTTTTTAGTAAGGTTTGAGCTGGTCTAGAGAACCAAAATTTAGCTATTCTGGTCTTGAACCTGGAACTACATCTGGTTGATGCCTGCGGTAGTTGACCAAACCATATTAGAGATGGTCATAATCTTTGGTGTTCTGATAAATGTATATGCTAAATTAATCAGTAAGAAGTATATATTAAACTGGTTTAAGGACTGAAATAGTCATTTAAAACAAGTAAACAGAAATCTGCGGCACTTCTATGTGCATTTACTCTAGTGTTCCCTTAAATGCTTATTTATTAGAGCTTGCATTAGCCGTATGCAGTGAATAGAAGGTAGACACAACAGTTATCATTAGTGTAGAATCATTTTTGAGGAAAATAGTCTGAGGTTTGTCATTTTGACATGTACTGACATACATCTTCAGCACAACTTCAGGAAAACGTCTTTTCCAGTAGGCTTCATATATACTGTAATTGAGATGTTCACAGGTGAACTACCAATTGCAGTTATGTGCAATTTTGGACTTCTAAAAAGGCATTTCAGTTGCAGTTAGGTAATCTCTCTTGAATTGCTTTTTTCTGTTTTGTTTTGTTTTACTCTTCCATTTTTAGATTTGAAGAAATTGTTCCTGTAATAGAAAGTCAATTGAGAGTGCAGGTTTTTTCTGGCTCTAAAGTGGTGGAGAAACATCTCACTTACAGCTGATTTTCTTAAAAATACAAACATCTAAGGAGTGGTGTGGACAGCTATTGTATCTTTAATTGCCAAGGCATCTAAAGTTATAACTTAGCCTGGAATCACTGACAAGTCTAATTCTATTCTGGTATTTTTCTTCTATGTTATTTTTATAGGATTCACAGAGTGAATTTTTATTTCCTGTCTTTGTGCAGGGGATTGGGGTATATTATTGGAACAATCACTTCTGGCCTCCATGTTGAGAGAGGTTTGGAAAAAAGAAAATTCTAAAGCGCTTGTAGTTCTGTAACAACAATACAGGCTCTCCAGATCAGTTTTCTTCAGTTCGAACATTCAACAAACCTTAAACCAACACAGATTTTCTGGAATCTAGTGAGAAAGTAGTCACTACAGTCTGTATATTACTGCTCTGTAAACCTAACCGGCTTTCTTAGTCTCAATTTTACATTTAGGGGGTTCTTTAGCCTCATGCAAGACGTGAAAAAACATTTATGGCTACTGAAAGCTTGGAGACCGGGTAGCTGTTAGAGCTAGGGAGTATGAGATCTGAGTTATCACAAGTAAGTCAGTTGAAAGCGAGTTCCAGTTGAACTTTGAAGCTTTCTAGCTTCAAATTTGCCTTTACTCAAAATGGATGGGGAAAGTTGATCAGTCTGGAAATAGGAGAATCTGACATTCAGGCTGATTTATTTTGGACTGACTCAATGGAGGCTTGAGGCTTTTTCCAAGGCAGATTAAGTTTTTGGAAGCAGTATGTTCCAGAGCCAGTATCCTCAGCAGGGACACATCTGGCTCATGAAAGTTTATTGAGCACTAATGCTGATTATCCCACATGTAGTCAAAAATGTTACCCTGACATGACACTTCCCTGAAAGGAACAGGCTTCTCGGTGAAGGAATTGATGGTTAAAATTGTGTCCATGCAAATAAGAGTTGATAAATTGCACTTTTGGGCAAACTTTCTTCACTAATGAAAGATTACATTGAACAGGATACTTGTTCCTAAGTAGGACTTTTACCTTTCTCACATCACAAAATAGAAAGAATTTGTGGTAGCAAGCTAAGGGAAGCAAAAGGAATGGTATCTGCAGCATGGGGGGGCGGGGGGAAAGGCTAATTGAGTAGTAGAGGGGTTATAGTCCATCCCCTTAGCATTCAGCAATGTACAGGTATTGCTGATCCAGTTATTTAGTCCTTAGTCCCTACAACCTCATGAAATCTAAGCAGAAATGCTCAGAATATTATTATGCATATGCCCCTTGCTGCATTAACATCTTGCTTGTGTTCAGAGTGCAGAAAGAAATAGCCTAAACATCTTGCTGTATAATAATGACAGGTCTTGTCTGGTTCAGTTGTTGGGGTAAGCCCATAGTGGAATATGAAACAACTTCAAAGAAAGAAAAAATAAACCAAAACACAAAACCTGCAGTAATGAGTAAGGCATAGATATTTCATTGTTAAGAAGTCTCTCTGTGCATAAAAGAAACTAGGCTGCCTGAACATTGATTTGTCTTCAGAACATTTTATGAAGATTTACAAGATGTGTTAGAATTTCTCAGGGGTCTTAAAAACAAAAAAAATTAAAAGAATGCTCTTAGAATTCACAATTCCATGTACAGCTCTGAACTCTTTCTGTTTCCATTGCCACCTTTTATCAGGAAATAAAATGTCTGGGAAAAAAATTAATGTTTATTCTTTTTGAAGTGCTACTTCGTAGTATGATACTTGTAATTCTTCCAGATTGTTTTCTGTGTCTGCATGGGAAGCATAATTTTTGCACTAGAGTTTTTTGAGACTTAGGGTGAAACAAGGCTTGGTAGTGCTCTGGAAAAATGAATTGCTTTAGATGTCTAGGCCAGTGTCTGGAGCAGCGCACATCCATGATGACTGACATTTCAAGAACCCTAGAAGATCTTTCCAATATTTCTACCTTTCCAAGTCTTTTTAGAGATATTTAGAAAGTAATTCTGAATAGTCTAAAAGCCATGACTGATTAGGGGGTAGTGTCTACAGATTGCAACTCTAGATGTGTTTTGAAATGAATATCTGAGAAGATGTACTTGGTCTGGCATTTTTGGTCTTCAGCTGTCTGCATGAGATCAGCTCTTCCAAGTATAAATGACAAATTAATGCCAATGTCTTTCTCTTGCAGTGAGACCCAACCATGCCTATTTGCATGTCACCTATTCAGTTGGTCTTTTCTGGTGACTTCAGGTGCAAGTCAATTTTCTCTTCCTCTAGTCATCTTGCTTCTTACAACCACTGCCTTCAGTGATGCTCATACAGCTTGTCTTAGGTCTAAAGGTGGGTGTGACTGGGGGAAGGAGAAGCACAGAGTAAAGGAGACCTCTCTGAAGCATCTTTCTCACCAAAGGAGCAGAAGAACAGAGCAACTCCCGAGTTGCTGAGTTTCATCAGCTCCCCGTGGTAGGTTCTAAGGAGGGTTTCTGTAGTTCCCTGCCAAAGCTTTTCCTGGCTGTTCTGTTCAGCAGCTGAAGGGACACAACCCACTGGTGAGTTTCTGTATGAGGGACTTATTTGTGAGAGGACAAGAGTTCAATTCTTCTAACTCAAAGTGCTGCATTGAGTTTCCAGGAAAAAGGAGTTTGCCACAACTGTTGCTACTAAAACAGGTAATGCAAAAGCTGATGTTCCTGACAGAGGAAGTGTTCAGTAGTAAATAGAGTTTTAAATAAGTCACTTCTGTGGGATGAGCTCTGCTATTTGAGACTTTTTTTGAGAGAAAGTAATGTTATGGGCCTGTAGGACTTAATTTTTCCACCTCAAGCACATCCAAAAGATAGTTAGGTGATCAGCTCACGTTGTCTTCCACTTCTTCAAAAAACAAAATCAAAACATTCTTACTTTGGTTTGGCAAAGGCTGTTGTCTTCAGTATCACGAAGTCTTCCCAAGACCTACATAGCTTTGCCAGCTTTAACCTATTGGGCGTTAGGCTTAATGTTTTCAGAAATGTTTCCTCCTACCATGTGTATCAATGTTCTGGCTGTAACTTCTTCCTTCAGCTTAGCACAGTTGTACTTCAGAGGCCATCTACTGATTTCTTTTCTGGCGAAAGAAATTTATCTTCTTTTATGGTCTGTGAAAGGGATACATTTTGCAGGGAAGCTTTTACTGAAAGCACCTATTTGATTAATAACATAAGCACTTACTGGGCTAATTCATAATGTTTCTTGAGGGGCAAATGTAGTTACTGCTGGAAACTGATAAAGCAGGGGACTGTAATGAAATCTATTGAATACTGTTAAATTGGTAGATCTGCACTTCATTTTTTTGCAGCAGTGTCAAAGCTTTATTGCTCATTGATAATTTTGTAAATAATTGAAATTAAACTTGCTGTTTGACACTAGGGTGGACTTTTGCATCCTTTATCTTTCAGGTTACATTTTAATAATTTTATTATGCTCTGAACAAGACTGCTTCTTATCTGGTAAACTTTTTGAAAAGGAGAGTAATGTTTTATATTCATGGGTTTTTGCTATGTTCATGGCACTGGAAACCTTTTTGGGCAATGCTGTTGAACTTCATAATCTGGCACGAGTTCTACTTGATGCTAACTGTTCATCTTTTACTACTACAGATGGGCATCATCTCTGAACTCGGGTTTATTCTGAAGAATAAACTGCTAATTTGTGGTTGCTCAAAGTCG